CGCACACCGACGAAGGGGTTCTCTTTGAGAACTCTAAACGGAGCCTTTGACTCAAAAGTCCGGCCAACGAGGCGGTGGGGCGTGAATCCAACGCGGAAGCGTGAACGAAGCACCCGTGTGGGAGCTTCTAGAGACCTATCACGCAAAGGTTCTGAATTCCGGTTAAGTTTGCTGTTCGCTGGTGCGTTGTGGGCACCACATTGCCAAGTTGCCCAGGTCAATGAAGGTGGATTTGCTTGGGAAATTCACAACTGGAGCCTTCGGCTAGGCAAAGCCTGACCCGTAAAGCAGCTAGGACGGTGTGAAAACCGCAATCTATTGGGGGCCGGCGTTTAGTTCAACTCCTGCACCAAAATTCACTGTAATCGGACGTGCGGAATGGATTTATTTGAGAATAGGTTGACCTGGGAGTGCAAACTCACAGTGAAGAAATCAGAGCTTTAAAGACGTTGGGTGTCTCGGGTTGTGACCGGTCAACATTCCCTTACACCTCACGAAGTGCTCCCATACAACCAAGTGTCTCAAATAGCCTCTGCTGAGGAAGCCCTAATCACTGCCTTCTCGTGGCAGAGGTGTTTTCCGACCAAAGTGAGAGGACGAAAAGCCGACATCCCGGGTTAGAACCGGATTGGTGAACCATTGGCAGCTTACCTAGGGAGTTGCTTAGAAGCCCTGATTCCTAACCAAGAGGAGGCGCACGAACCACACACATTCTTGGTTTTGTCAGTGGTCACCGGCTCGACTGAGCATCAAGGTGTATTCGGCATCTTCAATGTTTGACCCCGTCTAAAGGGCGCATGATCCGATAAACTAGACACCGGCCCCCAACGGTCTGCGGACGCTGAGCTCAGTCCTGTTGTTTTACAGGTCTGGCCCACACAACCTATGAACATATTTTACAGATTTCTGTTTGTTCACGTGTTGTGGTACATTTGCCAGTTCAGTGTAATTGGTTACGTGTTGAAATACATAAATAAACAAAAGGTTAGCATTTCGATGATGACAACTATATCACACAAAACGGGACAGATAGAAAACTTTTCGACAGGATTATTCTGGTATAATTTAGAGGAACCAGTTAAGGGCGAGTGCTCTGGCTTGATCGAACAGATTCGGGGTCACACCATTATATCAAATGTGAACTCACCAGTCAAAACATGTCCATCATCAACGACTTTTGGGGTTCGCCATGGTTTCGGATACGAAAATTCCGGTTTGAATTGAGCGTTAAAGTGCATCAATTCGGTCTCTCGCACACCGGAAGCATTCGCTAACTGACGGCCTTCCTCGGTGAAAGACCAAACGATGGGACAACGATGTGCAAGACTGAATGAAGCCAACTGGACATTCCACGTACAGGGCATATCAAACAGATATTTGGGATTGAGATGTACTATCCGATTTAGCACGTCCTGATAATGCGCATTAAGTGGGATGCAAGAGAAGAAAACCGAAACATTTAAAATGCATGATAGAAAGAGAATTTTTTTAAAAAAGAAACGGCTCACTTGTCTACATGTATTTCGTATGATATTGATATTGAGGCTGTTAGATAAAAGGAAAAAGCCCTAAAAACAGAAACATCTATTTTGGCGCGAATCAACCGAATACAATGCGATATAAACCAGCGCATAGGGACCGGCGTTTGTTTGACCCACTAACCAAATGGATTATACAGATAGACTTTTATCAACTGGCTATAGCGCTCATTCGTCATTCCATTCTATGGTCATATTGATTCTGTGTGCTCCTTGAATTCTCAAACAAGAATAGCAGATTCATTTGAAGGGGCCTCACCCCGAGCCTGTAAAAGAACAGTTTAAGTTACTAAGGGGGCTTCTAGTCCGCAATCATTTTCGGCTATTGTCCGATTCATGCGATTTATTGTCCAACTGAATTGGCGACGGTATATTCAGTATTATTGGAGGTAAATCAGTACAACTCATTGGTGCTTTGGAATCAAACTTTGAGAATATTTAAAGATTAATCAACTGGTAGCGGTTAATCAACTCGGTTTTATTCTCCGAAGTTTGGGATTCCACACCTCTTATTTCTGTGAAAACAGTCTCACCGGAAACGCATACGAAGGAGGACTATTTCAACAGAAGTTTCGAACACTTCGTGGGATAATATTTCAAAAACACTAACTCAAAATCATAGTGAGACCAATTTTACCAAGACAAATTCTTTGTTAAACACACAAAAATCAGTAGTAAATCATGCATCGACTCCGAACTTTTCGCGACCGATCGATCCTACGGAATGTGCAAGCAGTGCATTTACGCATAAATGAAACAAACAGCATATGGCTAGTACGAGCAATTTCGTTCACAACGTCACCTCGAAACTACAATCTTATTCATTAGGATGAAAGGCGCGACTATAAAACACTGGAGTTGTCTCCGTGTGAATAGAGGTGAATGTGACTAGGCAGTAAACAAAGGGAACGATAGGCAGAATGCAACAATTCTGGGCGTGTGCGGGAACGAATTGATCAGAAAAAAATTTAAACGGACGTACGCCGATCGGATCGATCGGGCCGGTGTGTCGGATGGAACACTGCACAGAGCAAGCCTGTGATTTAAGGACAAGAATCAGACACAATTCAGGACCTTATTATATCAGGATGTTTTCAATACGGTGGTGGAATTAGCGTCCCGGGACGACGTGTGTTCGAAACCTGCCTGACTTTTCCCATTCAGTCTTATGACTGTCCTTTGATTGTCCGCTTCATCCCCACCTCGCTCCGTACAACTGCGTCACCGCATTTTTCACAGTAGAAAAAAAAACAATGAAGAGTGCCCTTGTTTTGTAGGAGTTACAGCTATTTAGTGAACGGATAGTGACGCGAGTGCTTGGCCAGTCCTATCACAGGATTAACATGGGGCCAAGCATGACTGACCTGAGTATCACCAAGTGACTGACCACCGTGCTCATTATGACGATAAAACGGGATTTCACAACGTGTGGTCCCAAACCAGACAGTGTATGGTATTTTCAAAGAAAATTGTAGATACAGCCTCAGGTTAAACAAAAAGATCTCCAAACAGAATTCTATATGAAACCAATTAACCAGATAATAGATTGATTGTACATGTTTATACTCATCAATCAAACGAGATGATAGTTGAAATTTACAGAAACTAAGGGCCTGCTCTTGTAGTAGTAACTGGAATCATTTGGCAATTATCCGGCAAGGTTGGCCAGATACTGAAGCTGGAGTTCAGCAGAACGATTGCAGTTAAGTGATCTCTATCTAAGGTTTATCCTGTGCATTTTCTGATATTATACATACGATAATATTAAGAAAACACTGTGGCGAACAAAGTTTGTTTTCGATAACTCCCTCCTCGGGCTAATATAGTTATATATAGGGTTCAAAATTATCAAATTAGTGTAATGGTCAGATGTGATGAATATGATTGGTTGATTATGATCTAGTGATGTGTGGTTTGGAAATGTGAGAGCAGTGTTGTTGTTGTCGTCACATTTCCAAACCATGCATCACTACATCACAACCAACCAATCATATTCATCACATCAGACCATTACACTAATTTGATAATTTTGAACCCTATATATAACTGTATTAGCCCGAGGAGGGAGTTATCGAAAACAAGCTTTGTTCACTACAGTGTTTCCTTAATGTCACGATGGGAATATTCAATGAAATACGTCTATATATTTATCACCGGTTTACGAGCAAGCTTGATGCCAAAGCAACACAGAAAATGTGGGTGGAAAAAGGGGGGTCAGATGGTCAAGCTGAAAAACGAGAAAAACCATTTTTGTTGTTTGTTGTTGTTGTTTCACCGTACACTTTTTGATGTTTTTGTGTGAAATTATCGTTTTCTTTTTTAGTGTGGCACGGGATTTCAACAGGTAGACTGCATAGCATTCGCACCACTGACTTCTATTCCGAGTCACATCTCTCTCAGTACTTTTAATCAACGATAATCTGTATTCCCCGGGTCCCAACCTGGAAGGCAGGCTGCGCCAACCGAAGCCAAAGCTGAAGCCTGCTTCTTCATGCTTCTACACCATGTCATGGTCTGACCGTCGCGCACCGCTTATTCCAGCCTTGCCCGGCAGACGCAAAGAGAGCAGGGAAGTGTAGACGATGGGCAGGTATAACAGGCCAAATTCAAACTGTCGGTATTTATTTCACGGTCTGCATGCAATGAACCCCGTATACAATGAATTGTATTCGTATTTGTGTAACCTGTGTAAGCATTTATCCTTACAGTTCAGTTGATGATCAACAGTCAGTAATCATCATCATCATCATCATCATCGTACAGCGAAATACAGTGAGGCAAACTTCACTG